GGGCTGCCCCTTCCCGGGGCCGCCGGTGCTTGTGCCGCTACCCCCGGACCGCCCCGCTCCGCCCGGGCCGGGCCCGCCGTCCTCGCCTGTCGCTGCGCCGAAGCGTATGGGGGGCCTCGGTTGGCAACGCGACTCGCTTCGCACCCACCCAGCCTCTCCCCCTCCACGGGCAGAGCCCCTCCCCGCCCGGGTGGGCCCGGTGCAGAAACGGCAAATAAGCTGGTGTCTGCCGCCTTATTTAATTCCTGTGCTCAGCGTTCAAAGCAGTCGTTGAAACGATGCAAACGGCAGTAGCTTGTGCCGGCTGTAACTTGGGCTTGCAGAGTCCAATGGCCAGAGCCAGCTGCTTAAATCAACACTGGGGCTGCTCCTCGCCAGCTGGTTTCTGCCGTTTGCTGAGTTCTGGCCACGTCTTCCGTTTAAATAGCAAACTTGCATAGCTTTATGCACATACATATGTATATGCATGCATATACATACATATATATGCATAACTACAGGAGGAAAAAGATCACTTCTCTTCCAGATAACCAGCTGAAGCCTTAGAGCATGAGATTTAATTTTAGCCATCATGTGAATGGAGGAGAGCAAGTGTTGATGGCTAATTGTAATCTTGAACATTTAACTATGTCGTGCTTCCCTATAGGGCTGTTGTATGTTAAGTGCTTGTCTCTGGGTGCTAAAACAGATTTGTGTTTATAAATATGCGTGTGTATATGTAAACTGCACTATAAACAATTTGTAACTAACTATACAGTTATATTTTGTTATACATATATGTAGATACAAATTGATTATAGTGCAGTTTAAAATAAGCTTATTTAAGTGGGGTTTTAACAATATTTAAGCTTTGTCAGCTCTCAGTGGTGCAGTGTAATTATACAGAACAAGACAGATGGAGTATTCAAACCTTTTACAAAACTAGTCTGCAAATCAGGAGGTTACGGGAGGTTATAGCTGAGTACTAGGAAGGGGAGGTAATTTTAGGTAGGTGTACTAGGAAAGTTGAGAAGTCAAGATGGTGGTAGCAGTGTGACTTCCATTTGAGTAGGGATATGGGAAGTAAGTTTTGACTAAGGGGATTATACCAGGTGTTTTGGAGAGACAGAAAGAAATGCCAGAACTTGGCAAACTTCAGATGGGAGAAGTGAGAACAAAATTCGGAAGTGTAGGGTTGAGTGGAAGAACAGTGGAGTCAGCGAGAATCAACAAGGGTGGGGAGAGGTTGACTGAATTTTGATTATCTAGTAAAAGAGGAAAAGGTCCCGGATTCATATATCAAGCAGAAATCATGAATGTGCATCAATAGCCTGCATCTGAGCACATAAGACTTGGGAGGGAGGGGCAGTTGTTGAAGGATGACCTGAAAAAGTCCAGACAACAGTTAGTCTGAAAAAGGATGGTTTGATCAGGAGCTGTGTTCAGTGCTTTGATAATCGAGTCCTCCTATTTATCTGGGGAAGAGTTTGTAAAGCACTTTTTCTTCCCTGTTAGATCCTCCCCGCCTGCTGGAGGAGTTCTCAGCCTGTTGTCTTAGTAACAGGATCCTCTGCCACTCAGCATTGTTATCTCCATCCCATCTTAGCATCTGCCCTGCCATGCTATATATAATTGTGCTAACATCCATAAAAGACGTGCAGTGGGTTTTCTGTCTGTAGCAGTGGTTTGTGCTCATCCTTGTTGTTAAAGCAGCAGCTTCTTTGCTTTGAAGAAGCCGGGGCTGGAGAACCGACTGCTGCTTTGCCTGTCGTCAGAGCTGCCCAGCACTGGGCTTCTGTTTTGCCTCTGTTGAAATTAACTGTACCTTCCTGTTCAGTTAATGTCTTTACCTGAACTGGTCCCTGTTCCCTGTGTTGAAGAAGAAATCTGTAGGTATACAGGCTGTCGCTTTGGCTAATGTATTCCATAATTTATTTCAATGTGTAGGGACCTACTGGAAGGTGATGGCTCCTTGAAAGGTGTGGCCTGGGACGCTGTGTGCCAGGGTCACTTTGACATAATAACAGTAATAAAAACAATTCCAAGAAGTCACGTGAAACGTGGGGGGAAAATTAATCACTTGGTACATGAGTCACTAGTTAATTAGACCAAGACTTCTCCAAGCGAAGGCTGTCTTTTTAAAGTGACCCAAAGTGCTAATGCTGGCTAGCAAAACCTAAACATTTCCATTTTCACTGAAGAAGCTCCAAGTTCAGGCAGAGGGCAGATTTAGCCAGGTGATATCAGGAACAGGTGCAATCACAGTGATTCCTTCAGGAAAAAAAAGAGGACAGGAAACAGCCTTGTCAAGCATCTCCCGGAGCTGCACATGCATCTCCGACGTACTGTAGTTAAGAGGTGGACACACAGGGTTCTGCAGAACACAAGACAGAGGAATCTCAGTATCTCCCT